TACAAATTTCTCTACCTCTCTTTCTGGTGCATAAGAAAAAGAATGTTTAGTTTTCAAAATTTTATCTCTCACCTCTTAAACTCACGCCTTTTCTTAAGAGAATCAAGTTTTTATTTTGCATGGGCCGTTTCCGAATTACTTGTTGCCTCATCCATCGTCTAATTTCTTCTGCCAAAGAATGATTCAGCGGGTGTCTTATCCGTGCTATAGTGTTCAGTGCTAATTCCTTGACACACAGCTACCACAGCGTTGGTGGTAATTTCTTACATAGCTGGGGATAATTTTAACTATATTTATGTTCACCCGCTCTCCAATATTCGACTGTGGTCGAAAAGGGATCATTTTAAAGTGTTTTATGTCAAGATACGTACATATTTCCTCAGAAATTTGATTCATGAATTAACCATTGTCCAAAGTAATTTTTATCGGAGCTCCGTACTTTAATATAAATTTATTTTTAAATGAATTTGCAGCAATTTTCACGAACTTCTTTCTGAAGGGAATTATTTCTACCACTTGGAAAATTATCAACGATTATAAGTATATACAGGGTGGTTGTAATTTAAGTTATGATGACGCTTTTTATGCAACGTAAGTACGTTACGCAAATTTAGAGCATTTTAAAAAGCAAGTAGTCAATGTCGTAAAAATCATTCTAACCATGCCTTTGGAGAAGAAACAGCAAAATTTGGTTTTCTAAGTGCTTCGTTTTTCCACCACGCGAGGAACATACAAACTGATTCTTTATTATTTAATGTCAGAGACTGAAAACAACAACTTCAAATTATATAACACAGCTAACTCTAATCTTACAGTAACTATATTATTAATACATTTTAATTTGAAAAGTTATTACTGGGCAAACAATACATTTTAAGCAAACTATTTTATTGTTTCTAGAATGGCAATAGTCTGTCAACCAGATATCAGAAGAAATATCTGACGTGGACAGCACGACTTCCTTGTACGGCCTAATAAATTATAACACATTTTTTTGCTGCACTTCACTCAAACTTATTTCCTCTAATTTCATAACAAATATACTTCTTACTCAGTCAATTCAGTTTTCACTTCGTGGCAAGGCAAAAATACACAAAAAATCAAAACATTTTTATTAAAAACTGTGAAAAAAAAAAAAAAAAAAAAAAAAAAAAAAAATAAACACCAAACACAAGTTTAAATTTTTTTTTTTTAATTTAAATTAGTATTTCTACGCAAAAACAAGCAATCCGACCAGAATGTAGGGTCATCTGATTTAATTCACTATTCGAGTAATAGTTTCTAATGGTGGCCTCGTTTGACCACTTAAAACTCTTAAATTGTTGATAATTGTACAACCATTGCATGCAGATAAACTAAAGGCATAAAAACCTTAAATGCAACATAATATAATCACTTCATCAATATCAGTGGCATTGCTAGGGTGGAGCGAGGGGGGATATCTGTCTCCGGGAGCAGCATCGAAGGGGTGTCAAATTGATGCTACGAAATTTTTTAATGAAATATTTTCCATTCTTGGCACACACAAAGCGGCGCAAATTCTTCAATTGTCCCCGGGTGCTGGAAACCCTAGCCACACCCCTGATCGATATATAAATATTTTATTCATAATTCTAAATTTTTTTTCATGTAATAGTATTTTGTATATATTATGTATATATGTAAAATTATTTTTTGTCTTTTTTCTCATCTCAGATTTTATTTTTACATTTAGTGTATTTACTTTTCTTTACATTTAATGGAATTCTGCATATATATATATATATATTTGGGGGGGGGGATTTAATTTTTGTTTCTTAACGTTTTCCTTAATTTGAAGTTTTCTTAATGCTACAGATATTTTAGTTTAGTGTTACGTTTTGGCCTTTTGAAAAACCTGCGGAAGGCTTACATAAAGCTTTGCATAAGTTTTTCTGTTCTAAATTTTCGGGATTGTCGAGGTGCAATTAACTGCACCGGGTGGTGGTGGGGACAATCCTAAAAAAACATAATTTATCTTTAACATATTTCTTACCAATAAGTGATTAGAGATCATGAGGTAGTGTTCTAAAGCAATCATAGTACTACCCTGTGAACTCCTTTTGTTACAGGTTCGAATCCTGTAAATATTTATTTATTAACTAAAAGAAAAAATTCAAACAGCTATTGGTTAGCTGCGCCTCCACGTGCTCCGCCTCTTGCCTTTGAACTTTGGACTTGCACTGTGCATCGCCTCCTGGCACTGAACCAGTATTTTCATACTACTTACATACATACGTACATATAGACGTCAAGAAAAAAATCCGTTCTGAATCCATTTTACAGTCCGTTGCACAAAAAAAGAAAATCCTTTACTCTGTCTGTATGTATAAATGTCACGCAAAAACATCATTCAAATGGATTTGTGAGTGTTCAAAATGGATACTTTTGTTAAAATATGTGATACCCGAAATATTTTGTGATTACAACATGTCCTTTACTTCGTACCAAGGAAGTAAAAAAATCTGATGTGGACACCACATGACTTCCTTTTAACGATCTATTATATTATACACATTTTTTGCTGCATTTCATTTAAACTTATTTTCTCGAATTTTATTAGAGATATATTTCTCATTCATTTAATTGTTGTCACTTTGCGGCAAGGCCAAAAACACATAAAAATTCAAAACAACTTCATTAAAAATTGAAAAATATAGAAAAACATAAAAACACCAAATATAATAAGACAGTTTACAAATTTTTTACAATTAAAATTAGAGCAAATTCTGCACAAAAATAAGCAATTCGGCCAGTGGGCAAGAAGGCAGAATTTTCGGTGCACAAAATTGATAGTTCACTTTTGTTCCCACTCGGCAAAAATACACTGAAGGTGCAAATACTGATTTAATTCACTATTCTGACAAGTTTTATATGTAAACAAATATGGCTGCTTTATTAGGCTTACAACTATTGCATGCTGATTGATGCATGAAAACCTTAATCGGAATTATCTATTATTAAAAATAAACAAAAACAAAGGAGGAGGAGGAGAGTGAGAAAATAAAAATTTAATTTAACATAATTTGTATATATCAATTGAAAATTGTTAAAAAATTGTTAGATGTATTTTTAAAGCATAGAAAATTGTAAGTAACAAATAGAAAATTTTAACTGCCTGTTCCCAAGCACTACATTATCTTGCTAACTTTTCAAAAAACTGAATGTAACCAAAATTGACCATATGGCACAGACTATTTTTAGTGAAATACTTCCATGAAAAAAAAAAAAAAAATTAATACTTTTCTTTATAAGACATAATTTAAGTAAAGGTAAAAAAAAAATTAAAAATTTATATGGCAGTGCTATTTTTAGGGCAGAGTAAAGCATTTTATATTTGATACTTAAATGCTGATACCCTTTTTCCTCCAATGAAGCTACAGAAAAATAACTTTACATTTATAAATAATTCTTTTCTTTTCACCAACTGCTATAGAAGGGTTCTAGAGAAATCAAAAATGAGAAAAGTCATAATTCTAAATTTTAAAACTCTATTATAAAATATAAAATTAAGTATGAATAAATTTGCCTTCATCATTTATATTTTATTTTCAAGAAAACAACAAGTTTTTTTAACTGAAATAATGGTATGAGATAAGTTATAAGCAAATACTATTACCATTTTAAAAATCAGATAAAAATTCATCAGTATTCTGATAACAATGTTATAGGAAAGCTCTCTGTATTTTATAGAAGGTTAATATGCCTCTTCTTTTCAACATGGAAAAGTATTTTTCGAATCTGACATTAATTTGCAGCACATCCCCATTAATATGGAGGTAATTAGTATATTGTACTACCTTATGCACTATTATGTCATGTGTCTTTCTTCCTCAAAATATGCAAATATTTTCTCTAAAACCAATATCAATCTCAATGCCACAAAATAATTCTGCTCTTTAAAGAAAAGGATTCAGTATAAGCAATGGTCTCCTCTGAAGTTATAGTAAGGCTTCTAATGGGAAAAAACTCCAATGAAGACCCACATTATCCAGAACAGTGGATGGTCATTTTACTGTTTTTTGTAAACCTTAAATTTTTATGATAAGATCATAAGGAGAAATTAAAGACCTGTATCTAAAATTAACTTAAACCTCTTTCATTATACATTTTTATGAGCTTATAAAGATATTATGAGACAAAAATTTCATAAAAATTTAGAAAAAAAATGTCTACTTAAAGATGAGAAATCATATCCACAAATCAAGTCATTTAATTGCTCTGAAATTCCCAACAAGTTGCAGGGAAGGGAGGACAGATTAAACAACATGAAATAAGCTGTAGTATTTAAAACGAAAAAAAACCATTAAAAAAATAATCTTGAAAATTCAACTGTGTTCTTGAAATAATTCAAATACCAGATCTTCCAGTGATTAAATGCATGAATAACACATGCATTTAATCACACAATCACACATGCGAAATCATACAAGAACATATGGGAGAAATGAACTTCATTTCTTATAAAGTAAAATTTTTCTGAAAGATTCTGTTGTTCAAATATTAACACAGTAACATCAATTTTCTGAAAGGTTTTAATTCTCAAAAATGAAGTGCACTTTGTATTTTTATTTGCCCCATTTAACGTTTGATGATTAATGTATCATAGATCTGCAATAACATTTTCATAACATTTTTGCTCACATTCTGCATTATAATTTTTCTGTTTTTATTTTAAGTCTTCTTCTAGAACACATGAACAATTTTATAATATCTGTATATAATTCTTTGTTTTCTAAAAGAAAACAGCTGTTTGAATTTAAATATATTTCAAGATGAAATATATCAAACAATTATGAAATTAATTTAAAAAACTAAAGGTGGGCTCTTTATTTATTCGATGTGCTAGATATATGATTAGAAATCTGATGTCGTAAAATACAATTGTCATAGAAATTATGAATGAAGAAACGAACTTGGGTTTTATCATTCATTTGAATAATACATTTTAAAAGAAGTAAAAAAAAGAGCAGGGAAAAAAATCATAAGTGAAATTAATATTTTATTAATTTATACACTGATCATTCTCCCAACCAATTTTCAAAACTAGAAATACCGTAATGAAAAATTGCTGAATATTCACCTGCTGATTCATCTTTGAATTACTACAGTGTAGTAAACAATTACATGAATGCTTAAAAATATATCAAAGTAAAATATATTTTAATAACAATAACAGATCCAATATAATAAATGCATAGAACAGTACAAAATAAACTGAGCTAAGTAAACATTACCAAAGGCAATTTTAAGAATTCTGAAAATGATGATAAAAATATAACAGCCGTACAAAGAATTAAAAGGTCAAAATAATCATAAAAATCATCACAATTTTTGTGTGATATAAAGATTAATACTTCTTTAAAGTACATTCTATTTTATTGGAAAAGAAATGTAAAAAATGAAATATAGAAATATATTTTTCAAAATAAAAAATTAAACTATGATGATTGATAAAATTAAAAAAAAAAAAAAAAATGGAAATTCTTCATCACAATAAATTTTCCCACACCATGAAAGACTTGTGCTGAAATGCAGAATTTTCCAAAGCAGTAACAATTTTCTCTCTTTTTCACAGTATAACAGAAGATATTCTATACAAAGTGATTTTCTAAATACAACACACAGTGTTGGTAGTTTATCACATAATTCATTTTTGCTGTTCACACAATGTTTTTTATAACTCTTCTTCAGTTTAAAAACCATGTCTCTCAATTATGAGGAACTTACGTTTTCAGCTGCTAGCAATTTACTGCTGCATGCATACTTATATACCCAAACCTTTCTTAATAATATTGACCCAGTTATGCTATTGGAGGAAAATATAATAAACTTTAATGGCAATGAAGAAAAAATGTATGAAATTCTAGCACCTAGAGGAAGAACATTTAAATCAAAAGGCAAAAGGAACTGAGAATTCTGTAAAAGGATCATGGCAAAATACAAAAATTAACACTATGCACATAACAGTAATTCATTAAAATCTTGGCATATTTTAGATATTTATAATCCATCAGAGACTTAATTAAAAAGTTTGGCTTGGAGCCTATCAATCATTAAAAATGATTTGACATGGTATAATTTCTAAGTAATCAAAGATATATTTTAATTAAAAGCAAATAAAATATGTGAAATTGCAAAGAAATAGTTCACAGTTCTTCAAAATACACACTTTTCATTATTATTCAAAATTTTTACACTATCATCACTAACAATATTTTGGAATATAACATAAAATTCAGTATAAACTTCTGTAAGGCAAAATGTAAAGGTGAAATATTCAGGGAACAATTTTTATTTAAATATAACAAAAATTCCAAGCATTCAATTCAGCAACAATTAAATTAACAATAATAAATAAAAACATCTGTTATAACAAACTGACTTACTTGTCCCAAATTATAAAAATTAATTTGATATTTAAATATATATATATATTTAAAATAATATGAGGAAGTAATTACCAGCTAAAAATGGCACAGGAAAAAATTAAAGTGAAGAAATAAAACAATGAAATCTTGTATTTGGAATTTTATTTATTTATTTATTTCTGTTCTTGTTGTTGTTATATTTCTTCACAATAATTATACTTTACAGAAAGATTCAACTGATGAGTTTCAGTTTCTACAACATCAGCAGAAAAATCACTCTGTTTCTTTTTTCTTTCCAAATTACAAGAAAAACAAAGAATTTTGCACCAATTTAATATTTTAATACTTTTACAGTCTTCCCCAAAAATATTAAAAAAAAAAAATATTTTAACAAGTAATTTGAATTTCCTTTAGAGATTAAATGTCCACTAAATGCAGTTTTCTATCACTGAAAATTGACAAGTAGTACGGAAAATGTACACTAATATTTTAAATACATGCACAGATGTATATTTTTTCCACATCTTTTAAAGAAACGTTTTACTTATAATAAATCAACACAGCCATTCATAAGTTAGAACAGTCACACAAAAAATATATTACATAAAATACTTACACGATTGCTGATAAAAATATTCTCACCCAGATTTAAAAAAAAGTAAAAAATTTCATTTCCATCAATAGGTTTTTCTATGTTGATATCAATGTATAAAGGAGAGTAAAACTGCCCCACATATAGAAATTATTTTACATTTATATATATTACATATAGTTTCTAGGCACTCATCATTTGTGCATGAAACCAATCCAGACACTTTAACCAGATGTTCCATGAAATCAACTCAACACAACAGTAACAGAATATGACTTTTATTTAGGTGCTACCACAACACCTTCTTCTTCTTTTGCATTATCCACATTATCTTGATTATCCTGAAAAAATAATTTATAAATATATGTTTCAGCAGCATATTAACATTGTTTACAAAATGCTACATAAATGACCCACTAAATGAATTAAATGCTAAAGAAACAAAACAGAACAAAAAAATAGGAATTGGTGTAAAGTAAAACATGCAGTATTGTGCTTTGGAAGGTCAAACAAACCTCTTCCTTCAGTTGTAAATGTGAAAATAGGGCATAAAGAAACAACATTGCTTGTTTGGCCAGTAAAAATTAATATAACAGATGGCACAGAAATAATTATATCATGCTTAAAGCTATGGCTAAACATTTTTGTAAAAAATATAAATCACAGCAAACTGAAATAAAAGTTATAGATTTGAAATATACACTACGAAAGATTTTAGTTCTGGATTATACCAAGACACACACACACAAATCATAAAGTCAGCCTGCTTGCCAGGATTCCAGCTTAAAATTACCAATGTTCAGTGATCTTACACATTTGGTCAATAATATGCCATTCATTATAAAATAAGCTTTATCTTTTTCAACATATAATTGAACCCCAATATAATTAACTCGAAGAAACCCAAAGTTTAGTTTGCTGTATCTGGTAATTCCTTGCGTTCAGTCAGATGAGGAAAAAAGTGTAAAAACTGATTTATAAATCACACAAAAGGAGTGATAGTTTTTAATGGAAGCACTTCATGTTTTGCTGCACATAGGTGGCTGAGTGGACTCTAAATATAAGTAGTTTGAGCCAATTTCAAACACTGGCAGAGGCACTGGGTTCTTGAAGTTTTCATTATTCTTTGTGTATATAGTATAAATATGAATCAATTTCTTTTGAAAATCCATGAATGCACATAGTCTTCAATTGCTTTACTTTTATCAATTAACCAACTATTCTGTATTTTACAATCAAATTCTGCATCATTTATACTAAATTTCTGAAAGATACCAAACAGTGTTCATAATTTGGAAAGAATTGACCATAAATGTTTAAATTTACCCAGTTTTTACTTCAATTGAATGTCCAGGTGGTGTTAATACTAAGTACTACTGGACTACAAATCTCATATAATTATTATGAAACGCTGTACAGAACAATACAGACTAAAAAAATTAAACTTGTTTACTGATACACCATAAAGAAAAGTTACATACCTAACAACAAGGCTAAAAATTCAAGTGAAATTTTCAGTGAAGGACTAAAAATCTATGACCAACTGAAATTAATACAGCTTTTCTGACATAAATAGTCACATTCATAGTTCATAAGATTGTGAAAGCACAAAACTCTTGAATCAAAGAACTGCTGTTTCCAAATTTGCCTTGATAAATATGTGGTATAACTAATGATCATATTTACTTCTTATAGAAACATAATGTGACAGCAGTTAATTTTCCAGATTTGCAGTTCAATAAATGCTAAAGACTAGCTTCTTTCTATAAAGAGATGATGAAAATTAAATAATTTTTTCAAGATAATCATACTGTGGTCTGGACAACAAATTGATAGATGAACTTACCTTTATCAAATGACTAATATTGAAGTCATAGGCAATGCTTTAAATCCAGCACAAGAAAGTTCTGCTCATTACAATAATGACATGACGTTAAAAAGATACTCTCTGATTTAAAGTTTGGATTTAGGAAACAAATTTTCAAAATTTTTAAAAAATATGAAACATTGTAAGATGTAAAATATAATTATTATTCAAATAACTTCTGAAATTGGTTAGCTTCTTGAAACCTTTTATGTCCAATACAATGTATCAGTTACTGATTTCAATAACCATTTGTGATAAAAAATTTTTTAAAGGTCTTGCTCTAGAATTGTTTTCTCTCTTTCTCTTGCTTCGATTTTTATTTCTATATAAATTTTTTTCATATTTAAAAACATTACCATGTAACATTTCATTTTTTAAATAGCACAATATATAGCATTTTATCTTAAGTAATAAAATTCTTTATGATTCTTCTTATTTGAATTTAACATTTGAGCATTTCAGATGTTGATATAAATAACAAAATAATTTTAACATACAAAAAATATATATTATAAAAACCTGCTACTCTAAAACATGAAATTTAGCATTTAAGAAAAATTAAAACCGATGAAACTGTATTTTTATAGTATTCCTCATTTATTACATGGAAATGCACCAAAGTTCAAAGTATTAAAGCATAATAAATTTAGAACGAAAAACTCAATTTAAAATTTTGATATGATTATTGAAAGGAATAATTAGAAACTAACCTGATCATCAAAATCATTGTCTTGTAACACATTTGCACCTTTCATTCCAAGAGCTGCATTATTTACAGGTTCATCTTCATTTTCTCTGTCATCATCATCTAAAATGATGATTAAACATTAAAAGAAATATTACTGTTCACTAAAAAAAAAAAAAGTTTGATACTTGAAGCAATCAATATACCTTTGCAGTTCTAAGATGATGGCAGTTACCTTTCTCATGCTGCCCATACTTATTTTAAATACCTAATCTTGGGTTGTTTAGATATTTTAACATCAGTAGTCAAGATGCTATAGAAAATAAGTTACTGCTGGATGTTCCTAAATGTACTCAATGTTCTTTCCTTAAAAATTTTTGATACTGCTCATCAATTTCATCATGTTATCCAGTATTAACTTCGAATTCCTCTATATTTAAAAATATTAGCTTTATAAGTACATTCTGACAGTGAAAACTTGGTGTCTAATTAACGAAAACAGGCTTGTAATCTTCATTAGTAAAAGTAGATCCCACAAAGTGTACTCTATTTGCTTTTACTCTCTAGTTCACTTAATACACATGAGTATTGTCCGAGAGCTAACTACATATGTAAAGCATCCTAATAATCACAAAAAAATTTTAGTAAAAGCAAATGAAATATTTTAATTGCAGGTCTTATTATTTTGAACTTTGTTATAAACACAAAACACAGATATTACATTGAAAAAAAAAAAAAAAAAAAAAAAAAAAAATCATTTTAACCATAATTGAAAAAAAAATTATTATTTCAAAATTATTGCAGTAAAAAATCTGATGTGTACAACACATGCCTCTCTTGTACAGAATCTTAAATTATATGTATTTTTTTCTGCATTTTATTTAAACTTATTTCCTCAAATTTCATTAGAGATATATTTCTGATTCAATGAATTCAGTTCTCACTTTGCAGCAAGGCAAAAATACATATAGACTAAAAAAATTTTTATTAAAATTGAAGAGCTAGAAAAAAATAAAACACCAAATACAGTTAAAAATGACAAAAGTTTTTATAATTAAAATTACAGTTGTTATGCAGAAAAAAAAAAAAAAAAAGAAAAGAAAAGAAAGAAAGAAAGAAAGAAAAAAGCAATTCGGCTGGCAGGCAAGAAGGCAGATAATAAGACGGGCAATTAATATATTTCATTTGCTTTTACTAAAATTTTTTTGTGATTATTAGGATGCTTTACATATGTAGTTAGCTCTCGGACAATACTCATGTGTATTAAGTGAACTAGAGAGTAAAAGCAAATAGAGTACACTTTGTGGGATCTACTTTTACTCGGCAGAAAGACTTAATTCGCTATTCTTCCAGTTTTCAAATGTAAACAAATACGGCTGCTATGATAAATATTAAAGTAGACTTAGCTGCACTTATACAACTTTTCAATTGTTGATAATCCCACAACTGTTGCACACAGATAGACATAAAAACCTTAACTAGAAGCTAGGAACAACATAATTCAATCATTTTTTAAGACAACAAATGCACAGTTTACCAACAAATAAGAATAAAAAAACTGAGCTCATGGAGTCGAGTAACAGAGTGAGTATATATTTATATACTTTTGGTGTGGCCAATTGCAACCAAAAAGGGAGGTACACACCTACATGTTATAGCAGTCCTATATAAAAACTTTCAACTTTCTGAGGCTACTTGTTTTGAGTTATGTGGGATATATACATACATTAGTACATACCTACAAACGCCACAAAAAATTTTTCTTCCGAATCCATTTTAAATCAGTTTTACTATTCATTTGGAGGAAAAGAGGCCTTTAATCTGTCCTTACGTACAGATGTCACGCAAAAACATTATTAAATTGCATTCAATGGCGGTCAAAATGCATATTTTGGTTGAAATCGCCCTGTACGATCTCCTCTTTATACCTCATAGCAGTAAGGAAGCCTTTGTCAAACACATGCAGGGGTATGCGGCCATTCAACATAATGCCTGCCCAAACTATTACACCTTCACCCCCATAATGATCCTTTTCACTGATGAGGGAGGAATGCTATCATGTTCCAGGTTCTCTCCAGATACAGGCCAAGAATCAGTGTCCAGATCTCGACTCATCTGTCAGACACAATGATGCTCTAATGAAGTTTAGTCCAAGGTGCATGTTGTCTGCACCAAGCTAGATGTGATCTTTTGTGTGCTGAACAGGATGCAAACAGCAGATCTTCTGCCATATAGCCCTATATCAGTATATATATAAGTCTTCGGGCAACTGTAATATATTATATATTAAATATCATGAAACTTGGATTGGAGCGGCAGCACACAACTTATGTTAGAGCTGTGCTGTTGTAGCAATCCTGTGTCACTGTGCTGAAAGTGCCAAATGATAATCCTCATTCATCATTGTGGATCTTGGTTGGCCTTGTCCAGGTCTTTTTTATATGAATATGTCCATATCAAAATGGTGAGTACACAAATCACCGAAAACCTCTTCTGCACTTCCACAGCTCCGCACATATGCACATGTAGGCTTACACATTTGACTCTGGATATTTGCAGAATTTTTTGGCAGCATAATTTATTCCTTTGGTTCAATATTTTTCTCCAAAATAGACAAAATTCAAATTTTGCACTCAAGTGTAATTAAAATCAGAATCTCTTTTATTCAATTTGACATATTTGATTTAAATTACAATAAGAGCAGGTAGTTACATAGTATTTAATTTGTAACTATTCTGGTATTTAATTTGTAACTATTCACAATGCAAAACATACTCTCAACTTTGTAATTATTTGCATTAACATATCTTATTATGAAGGGGAAGTTTTTGCTGTAATAAAAGTGTTGACTACACTCAGTAACTGAAATGAACTTTACATTAATTTGATAAATCCTGATGTAATAATCAGGACTACAAAGCTACTCAAACATAGCTGTAAAGCTTTTTCTGAAAGTTTTTCTAGATATGCACACATTTATCATTGTAAATAGGTCAACACACTTCATTTTTTAAAGATAAAATTTTTTTAGCTAAAAATATTCCCTCTTCTGTCAAAGATAATATATAATCATCATGACATGCTTATCTTTCAGAAAATTGTTAGTTTGGTACATTTATATTTACCGTATTGGCAACACCAAGTTCTCTTTCTCTGTATGCGAGCTATGGATGCCGATGTAATGTTGTGCACGTGTTGTTAAGTTTCAATAAAAAATGTGAAAAGATACGTTTCTTATTTTTCGACTTGCTTGTTCATATGATATCGATTTATTTAACATGGTAACAGTTCTCGTGGTTTGTGAATATGAATGAAGAATTTAGTAGTTATAATTTGTTTTAAAAGTTACTGGTACTAGCGTAAAAATGGCATGTACAAGAGGCAGCGATATCAGCATACCGCTATTTGATGGTTCAGACTATTTTAATTGGAAAGTGCGTATGATGAAATTTCTTCAATTTAAAAAGTGTAAAGATGTGGTTCAGCGAAGAGTCAGTGAAAATGATGACGTGGAAAAATGGGAAGAAAAGGATATCCAAGCTACAAATTACATTTACGGCGCCATAACAAACAAGCAATTGGAATATATTCACGAGTGTGAGACTGCATTTGATATAATTATGAAATTTGATGCAATGTATTTAAAAACTTCAACATCTCTACAAACGCCATTGTTTAGTCGTTAAAATAACTTAGAATGTGTTAAACTGAAAAATTATCCTGATGTAAATATATTTTTCGATGATTTTGAGAAGTATGTGAACGAACTGAAACATGCCGGCGCCACCGTGACGGAACAAGAAAAAGTTGAACTGTATATGCTAAGAGCATTACCTTCAAATTACAGTCACATTGGTGACTTAGTAGATTATTACCAGAGAAGGACAGAACAGTCGATTACCTAAAGAGCAAAATCAAATCAAAATTACTTGAAGAGAAAAATGATTATGAAGATCGTGCACCAGCAGAAAAATCAAATGTGTTCAAAATCAAAACAAGCAAATCGGGTCCACAAGGGAATGTCTGTTATAACTGTGGAAAACCTGGTCACATTAAAAAGAATTATTGGCATGTCCATCAAAGGAACTATCGTTGTAATGGCTCCACAAGTTCTTCAAACAATCGAGGACGTAGTCGTGCTTTTAGTGGACATCGTGAACGTGGAACATACTCTAACCAGAGAATAAACACTCATCAAGGCAATAGTTTTCACACCACTGTTATCGAAAGTAACATGACAAGTTCCTGTGCGAATATTGTGAAAAATAAAAATGAAATCAGTTGGTTACTGGATAGCGGATGCACAGACCACATTATAAACAGTGATGAATATTTCAAAGAGCAAGTCACTTTGAAGGATCCTATTCAAGTGAAAGTCGGTGACGGAAGGATTTTGAAAGCTACAAAGGTTGGCAATATAATAGTTTCTTTTCCTGTATATAACTCTGAATCTATTGTAACATTGAAGAATGTATTTTATGTAAAAGAAATGAAAAGCAAATTTATTAAGTTATTCGAAGATTACTGATAATCATAAAATAGTTTCAAAAGAAAAGTTTTCTAAAATATATGATGTCAATGGTTCATTAGTAGCAGTAGCAAAGAAAGAAGAAAGATTATATAAAGTAAAGAGTTATGTTAAAAATAGTAAAATATTTGCAAATTTGACCAACAATAAGTTAACGTTAAAAGAAAAATTGCACCGTTCATTTGGACATGTAAATTTTAAATATCTGGATATTATGTGCAAAGATCAGCTATTAGAAGGAATCCCTAAAAGAAATAGAAACCGAATATATGAAGTGTGCCATATGTATTGAAAATAAAATGCACAATTTACCATTCAAGAATAATAGAAGAAAAGCAGAAGATATTCTGGAGATTATACATACAGATGTAAATGGACCTCACAGAACAATTGGATGTAATGGTGAGAAATACTTTGTGAGTTTTATTGATGATTATAGCAAGTTGGCAAAAATTTATTGTATCAAATCTAAGGATCAAGTCTCTGATTGCTTAATTGAATATGTAAATGAAATTCAAAATTTAACAGGGAAGACTATCAAAGAACTAAGATGTGATAATGGTAGTGAATATATGAATAGCAAGATATACAAATT